TATCAGCCGTTCCTAAGGTTATTTATTACCAATACTTTATAGGGCGCCTCAAAAATAAGCTTGTACAAATAGAATATCATAGAAAAGGAATGTTTTCTTTTCATAACTCTTTTCATACCCAGCGTTGCCCGTGGAATATTAAAAACACTCTATACTTGAACTAAAAAATCAGAATTTTTAAGAAAAAAATCGAGTTTTGAAAAAAAATAGAATTTTTAAAGAAAAGTACTAAATTTTTAAAAATCACATTTTGAAAAAAATATCCCTGACAAAAATTCTGAAAATTTGGTTCAGCCGTTTGCTAGCTATAGCTAACATATATACATGCTTGGCTTTCAGAGCGCTTTGCGCCTATCTTCTATTTCAATTGTGAACATTTTCTTATTGTCTACATTAATGAAATTCGAATTAAAGTTTTTAGGTGCCATACAAAATATTGGCCTTATATTTTATGTCTATAAGCGAAGAGCTTATGATATTGATTTATATATATATAAGCGAAGAAATTTATTTTATAGAAGATACAAAAGATTATCAAGATTCAAGAGTGATTCAATTAATTTTCCGTTACTGCTGATCGAAACAGAAAGCATTAAATAATGATTGAATGATATTTTTCTAATATCTAATACATTGTATAAAAACTAGTTTACTGGAAGTTACAGTAAAATGTAAATTAAAATTAGTAAATCTCATTCATTCTTAATTAGCAATTACTTTAAAGAACCAAGTGGAAAACTAGGAACGGAGGGTAACTTGAGTTGTACTGTGGTACACAGTGATCTAAAGTTTGCAAGCTCTCACCCAGTTGATGCAACTTTGCATAGCAGTCTGGATTTATCTGCAATTTATTTGGCGGTGACTTTTAAAGATGCTTTGTAACATGGGGCTTGTTCATGACACATTGGTAAAGTAAATTTGATATCAAAAGTTTTGTAAACACAATGCTTGCGCAGTGTTTTTAAGAGAAACATCTCAAAAGGAGATATTTTTAACTAAACCTCTTCAAAACTATATTTAAAGATACCCNAATATCACTGTCGAACTAGGTTTCGCTTACTGTGAGAGCCTGTGGAAAATACAGGGAGGCAGGATCACTTTTCAGCCGAAAAATGCTAGTGACACAATTTAGCTTTTAACTATATCACAACACCGTGGTTTGCTTTGTAGAAAACTTTAGAAAACGTATTCAAAAAGTCCGGGGTCACCAATTTGGCGTGCTACAACTTTAAAGGAAAAGAGTTACTCAACGATTAACTTTATTTAAAAACTTAACTTATATAGTAAAATAATTGAATCTTTAACACATGATTTTATATCAGCTGATCTGGAAACTCCTCCTTGGATTTCTCTAGAATTATTCAGGAAGACGATATTCATATCCGCCACAGTACTAAACATATCTCCACAACAGTTGATTTTCTCATCCCTATATCTTAGAAACCTGAGCCAGTGTTTTATAAGCTTTGGCCCAGATCTCAAATCCTAAGACCCAAGTTTAAAACTCAATCTTAAACCCAATTAATAAATAAGCTGACGACAGCTTGTGTCACGTGATCCTCACCAGTCAGTCAATTTTTAGGCTAGACTTAAGGAGTTAGACCCAATGAAAATAAAACCGACCTTGGTTGGTTTCAGTGGATAATTAGTCTCAATGTTGTATCCTATTCTACTTAAATCCATCAAATCCGCCAATTCAAACAATGAAAGATCGCCGGATCCAACATTAAATCGGTTTAAAAAACCCTTCTCTGTAGAAAATTATTTGCAACTTATATAAAAAGAACGAGTCTTAAATTAGTCTCAATGGTAGCTTAGACTTGAGTCTTATTTTCCCAAAGTTAAATCACGGGCTCTGATGTCGGAGACCATATATTAAAACTATAAATTCTGTTCGAAAAAATAGTGAGAGTTTTACTAAATCATGCATATTACAAAGATAATTAGAAAATTAGAGTTTAAACCGACGCGATTGTTCAGTTACCTTATACTCAGATTAATAAAAAGATTAATATGATAAATAAAATCAATTTAATATTTTTTTCAAAAACTACTTAAAATATTAATAAATTTATAAGTGTTCATTGTTCAAGCAAATAGATGAAGAAGAAAAAATAGTGAAATATTGCGGGAAATATTCCGTGGAGGATAGATATTAGGCCAAGGATTTCTGGGGATGAGATACGGATGCAAAAGTAGATCAGAGAGGTACAAACTTTTGTGGGGAGTTGCATGATCCAAGCCGGGTAGACATGTGCTGTATATGCATTAACTAGTACTAATCTAGTCTGGACTAATTAACGGTTTTTTTTTCAGGTATAAAACGTTTGTTTCATCAACGATATTTATTGAGTTTTTTTAAAGCTACAGTTAGTTAACGATCTCGATATTACTATTTTTGTTACCGATGGAAAACAAACAAAAACGAAACAATCGTTTGAAAAAAAATTAGATTTCGTTTCTAGTTAAAAAGAAAAAAATATATCTACAAACAAGATAAACCCGAAGGCCAAGGCGTTGTGATACCAAAAAGTCGACGCAGTCTTGAAAATTGATGCATCATTTTGAAAACTGTCTGGAACTCTGTATAAACCGGAGAATATACCGGGGATATCCTCCTTGCTTCTCTACTCTCTAGTTTCCTCCGCTCTAGTTTTACGGAGACTTCCATCGGAGAATGAAGGTATTACCGGGGAAATAACCAAGGTGTCCCAAGGTGTTGAAGAATAACCAAGGTATCCTAAGGTGTTGAAGTATGACCAAGGTATCCCAAGGTTTGGAAGAATGACCAAGGTGTTCCAAGGTGTTGAAGTATATACAAGGTATTCCAAGGTGTTGAAGTATGACCTAGGTATCTTAAGATGTTGAAGAATGACCAAGGTGTCCCAAGGTGTTGAGTGTCTCAAGGTGTTAAATAATACCCAAGGTGTCCCAAGGTGTTGAAGTATAATCAAGGTATTCCAAGGTGTTGTAGTATGACCAAGGTGTCCCAAGGTATTGAAGTATGACCTAGGTATCTTAAGATGTTGAAGAATGACCAAGGCGTCCCAAGGTGTTGTATAACCAAGGTGTCCCAAGGTGTTGAAGAATGACCAAGGTATCCCAAGGTGTTGAAGTATGGCCAAGGTATCCCAAGGTATTGAAGAATGACCAAGGTATCCCAAGGTGTTGAAGTATGGCCAAGGTATCCCAAGGTGTTAAAGTATAACCAAGGTGTTCCAAGGTGTTGAAGTATATACAAGGTATTCCAAGGTGTTGTATAACCAAAGTGTCCCAAGGTGTTGAAGTATAATCAAGGTATTCCAAGGTGTTGAAGTATGACCAAGGTGTCCCAGGGTGTTGTAGTCTGACCAAGGTGTCCAAGGTGTTGAAGTATGACCAAGGTGTCCCAAGGTGTTAAAGTATAACCAAGGTGTCCCAAGGTGTTAAAGTATACCCAAGGTGTCCCAAGGTGTTGAAGTATAATCAAGGTATTCCAAGGTGTTGAAGTATGACCAAGGTGTCCCAAGGTGTTGAAGTATGACCAAGATGTCCCAAGGTGTTGAAGTATGACCAAGGTGTCTAAGGTGTTGAAGTATGGCCAAGGTGTCCCAAGGTGTTTAATTATAACCAAGGTTTCCCTAGGTGTTGTATTATGACCAAGGTGTCCAAGGTGTTGAAGTATGGCCCAGGTATCCCAAGGTATTGAAGTATGGTCAAAGTAATCCAAGGTGTTGAAGTATAACCAAGGTGTCTCAAGGTGTTGTATAAGCAAAGTGTCCCAAGGTGTTGAAGTATAATCAAGGTAATCCAAGGTGTTGTAGTATGACCAAGGTGTCCCAAGGTGTTGTATAAGCAAAGTGTCCCAAGGTGTTGAAGTATGACAAAGGTATCCCAAGGTTTTGAAGTATGGCCAATGTGTCCCAAGGTTTTGTAGTATGACCAAGGTGTACTAAGGTTTTGAAGTATGGCCAAGGTGTTCCAAGGTGTTGAAGTATAACCAAGGTGTCCCAAGGTGTTGTAGTATGACCAAGGTGTCCCAAGGTGGTGTAGTATAACCAAGATATTCCAAGGTGTTGAAGTATAACCAAGATATCCCAAGGTGTTGAAGTATAACCAAGATATCACAAGGTGTTGAAGTATAACCAAGGTGTTCCAAGGTGTTAAAGCATAACCAAGGTGTCCCTTGTTGTTTAAGTATGACCTAGGTATCCCAAGGTGTTGAAGAATGACCAAGGTGTCCAAAGGTGTTGCAGTATGACTAAGGTGTCCCAAGGTGTCTGATTTAATGCAAATTGTGTTTTGATTTTTTAAAATCAATTCCACAAAATGTTCAAGTTTTTTATTTGAGTTCCATTCAAAGAACTCTAAGATGAATTAAACAAGAAGAAAAGCAAACTAAGTGAATGTTGAGAAAAGAAAAATAAATTCAATCTAATATATTAAACAAACCATACTAAGCATATACACTACTTTAATCAAATCAAATTTTAAATTGCTTTCTAAGGATGTTTTGAATGCATTTTAAAAGCATTTGCATTCAGGGCGCTTTGAACCTCCTTTTATATTTCGTTTGCACCTAGAGGCCATTATTGGCTTTGCACTAGAAAGCCGACAGCTTTTTGAGAGATAGTAAACAGGAAAGCCTTAAAATCCTGAAAATATTACCAAGATTTTAAAAATATTTTTTCTGCGTGTCTGTGATATGAAATCATTTAATTAAAAAATATTCAAAGTCTAGAATATGAATTCTAGGAAAGTCTAACATTGGTCTTCCAATACTTTGTATAAAACGCCAAAAATGGCTTTCCTGTTTTTCCGGACACTAACATATATTTCTCCCTCGGTACGAAGAGACTTCTAACAAATTGTTCGTTAAAATGTTGTTTTTTAACTGCCTTGTAAAACTTTTTTTTGCGGATTATCATGATTTGTTAAAAGATTTCCTAAAACAGTATTAATAACCATTTGTTGCTTTTCTATTATTTTTTACTCCTAATCTTGAAAAAAGGACTATTTTGTCTCATAATTAAAAAAGTTGTTTATAATTTTAGAAGAATTGTACAATGATCGAGTGTTGTGGTAGAATTGGGCGTTGTGACGTCTAATGCTGAAAGTGAAGGAAAATTAAAGAAAAAAACTTGCGAAAGGTAAAGAAATTGGTTTTTTGGTCAATGTTTTTTGTTTTAAGGAAGAGTCTGGCTATGACATGGCAGTTGAGCTGAGAATCTTTATAATCCTCATCGATTCTTAATTTTTGAGAACTAATTTTGAGAATCGGGTTTTGAAAAATTATTCCATAACGACGCCGAAAATTTAAAAGAATTCTACCATATACTAATTGGATCGCAGATTTCTTCTAATTCTCCAAATGTCGTCATTTCAATAAAAATTCCGGAAAATCTGCAGAAAATGTTTGTGAATTATGACACAATACAGCAACCAATAACATTTTTCGTTGTCGTCCGTGAATAATTTTTAAAAAACCGAATCTCAAAGTCATCCCTCCAAAATGTACAATCTATGAGGATTTTAAAGATTGAATTTACGCTCTTACTGAACAAATATGCACCGTGAAACGTCTGATAAGTCTCAAAAATGTCTCTACAATACTGCGCTCTCAGCTCAACTACCATGTCTAGCCAGAAACTCCCTTTAACAAAATATGTCTAATTGAAATCACTTTTTTATTAGGTTTTTGGAATTTATTTCTTCTCATTACAGACTTCTTTAATGATTTTTTTTTACTTTTAAATATGTTTTGTTGTGTCGTAGGCTACTTCTTCTTAAAACTAAACAATTTCTCATATTTTTTCACTTTTGCTGGTGGATTAAAATTTTTTTGTTTGATCAAATTTTGTTGAGGCTAAGTATTAAAATTCAAACCATCCAAAATCTTGACTTAGGTGTTATGAAGTTTTGCAAAAAAGACTTGGGTGCGATCGATTTTTTCCAATTTGACTTTTGAATATATAAATAAGCAGTCCAATAAGCCAATGTTGTAATAAAGATAATAAATGTCCAAAATGCATAAATTAAGATTTACTTTGCGCTTGTTAAGTTAATATTTATTATGGAAATTTTCTTCTGATCAAATTTAAAATTGCAGTTGAACTGAAAAGATTGAAGACGTTTTCAGAATACAAATATAAACTAAAAATCCTTGATTTATTCACGAGCAATAAAATTAAAAACCTCTCTTGGGTTCGAAAAAAACATCCCAGGAAATGAAATAAATTTCTCCAAATTATCCAACTTTAGTGACTTGTTTGGTAAATTCTCATGTGATTCCCCGAAAGTTCCCAAGAAATATTCTTAAATTAATCCCAAATTCAGAGATTTTTGGGTGAAAAGATTTTAGAGAATTGGTTTCTAGACAGTCCAGAGAGATTACTCCGGAAATTTTCCAAGAAAATCTTCGAGAATTTTCTAAGAAATGTTCAGGACTTGGTCACTGATTTCAGGGATATTTTGTGGACCAGAATTTGAGACCCAGTTTAAAGAAATTTCCCAAAATTTTCCCCGGAATGTTTCTTAAGATATTCTCAAGATTCAAGATGGATGCCATTCTCCCGCCATATTTAGTTTCAGCTGACTCAATCCAGTTTTGAATATTTAATTAACTTTAAAGTTCTACTTCTTTCTCTTCTTCATTTTAATTTTAATTTAAACACGCAGAAATTTAGGTTTTCTCAGCTCAGATAATAATTTTAAGTATTTTAAGTATATTAACAGGCCTGAGCTGGGAACTTTTGAGTGGTGGATATAGGGATTATTGTTTGATCCACTTTTTTTTCTTAATCTCAAGATTAGATAAGGCGTGTTCTCCTCTCGTTATTAATCTCCAGATTAATTTACCGATCGGGATTAAGGATATCCCATTCTGAAGTTTTCAGCTCTGAAAACTTTAGAATGATGGATATCGAGATCAATGCTTGATCCTCTCTTTGTGCTAATCTCAAGACTAATTTAGTCTCTAGATGAATTTCAAGTGATTGGAGATGCGCTCTTTAACTTTTAAAAAACCATTTTTTAAATTTTCGGCATTTGTGGTGTCTTATCAATTGGACTAATGATCGACTGAGCGAACTTAAGTTTTGGATTAATGTTTATTAAGACTACTGTTCAAAAGGACTATAGTCCTTAAATTTAATAAAATATGTTTTTTAATAAGTTCATATTAACATTATTAAATTTATATTTGTTTAAATTCTCTAAAAGCCGGCTTGTAAACAGACTTTAGTTTAATCGATATAGCATCGTATCTGTATTTGTAATCAAACGTATCTTTTATTACATATAGTAGGAAATGTGATATCCACAAGAGTGGATTAAAATGCAAATTAAGTTTCCGCAGTGGATATTCAGATTAAGCGATCAGGATTAAGGGTATCCAATTCTAAAGTGTTTAGCTCTGGTATGATAAAATTAACGGTATAACGTAGGACTAAGCCCATTTTATCCAAAGTGAAAATATTAGAGAAAAACAAGCCTGGATTGAAATTTGGCTGGTAAAGGAAATTATTGAGCCTTTTTCACAAACTCAAGTTTTTTCTTTGTCTTTTTAAACCATCAAATCAAATCGTATACTTTCTGCAGTAATAAAAGATTATAACAGTTATTTACAAAACGTACATCAAAAATATGTATAACAACTGCAACAGGAGAGCTTTAATAGTTTATAACTGTTTTCACAAAGCTCTGCTGAGATCCTTAAGATGTAAATATTTGTTTGAAGAAGGTGAGAGATGGCAGTTGGTAGAATAGGAAAGTAAACTGATTTGGTTGACAGTAATCCAGTAATTTACATTAAGAAATCATAGAAACATAAACTATCATTCATAATTTCCTTTTGGCTCCATTGAACAACAACAATATCTAGTGGCTTGAACATGCATATTAAACAACAACCAAAGATTATTGTATCCAACACAATTCATAGTCTACGACATTGGGTTGCAAAGATATAGGGATAAGAGCTTGTGGAAAAGGCTTAATTTCTTAATGAATTGCAATTGGTTTTTAATCTTTTTCATATCAGAAACCTTTCAATTGACATCAATGGATTTGGCGATATCAACTTGCCATCATTGGATTCAGTGAATAAAATTTGCCATAATTGGATTCGGCGATTACAATATCAACTTGCAATAATTGGATTCGGCGATTACAGTTTAACATCATTGGATTCAGTGAATACAATTTGCCATAATTGGATTCGGCGATTACAATTTGCCATCAATGGATTCGGCGATTACATTTTGCCATCATTGGATTCGGCGATATCAACTTGTCATAATTGGATTCGGCGATTACAGTTTGCTATCATTGGATCGATGATTACAATTTGCCATCATTGGAAATTCGGCGATTTCAAATTTACCATCATTGGATTCGTCGATTTCAAATTCTTATAATACATATTTGTTAACCATTAATTTTAAAACCTCTATAAAATGTCGTCTTCAACTCGAATCTCCTGTCGGAGACAGCCAAACCAAACTTTCAGCCCGCATGATAAAATTGGATTTTAAACGATATGTTCTATTTTTCTGTTTGCAAAAAAACTGCGGAGAGCAGCGGAATATATTATTGTTCTTTATGAACTATCAGAATTTTCATTTACCATTTTTGTAAAAGCTACAAGTTATAATATCTTCGTTTCTTAGACAGCTTACTAGCTTTTTTCTGCACTTTTGTTTTCAGTAACAATGAAGAATTATCAGAATTTAACACTTTTCATGTCAGAAAATCAAATTTATATTCCCATTTTTGATCAGATTTACATGACCCGACAGCAGTTATGCTTTTGGGTAATTTCGCACATTCCCAGGTATTTGGGAATTGTCAAAATTTTCCGAATTCCTTTATTTTATTTTTAAGATTTTAGAAATTTACCATAAAGATACCCATTCAGATTCTGTAAGAAATTTGGGGAATTTTTCAGATTCCCAGGTATTTGGGGAATTCCCAATTTTGACCATTCCCTCTAGATTTAGGATTGAAGGGTATACCGTTGTGATGTTGTATGTACCTCTTAAACTAGAGGGTCACTGAAAATTACAACGCCATTTCCTTTAAATGTAAAATTAGGGTTTTCATATTTTCGTTCAATATTTTTTACGAAATTTTGATAAGCCATTTTAAAATGGGGTTCGAAATAACATTCATGTTGCTAGGGAAACCATTTTCAATATTTAACAAAGTCTTTAAGTCAATTTCTCGAACATCTCGTGAGTTTCGAATTATGAAAATTTCATTGGAAACCCTAATAAAACAGGAAGCTCTTTCTACTTTATATATTCTCATTAGCCCCGTATAAAGAAAAAATGGTTGAAGGGTATTGTTTTTGTCTGCGTGTGTGTATTTTTGTAACCGATGAACATCAAAACGGTTAAATTGATCACGCCCACATTTTTTGTGGGACCTCAAATGACCCCAGGGAAAGTTTTAAAAAATGTCTTTAATGTTTTTTTTTGATTTTCATATAATTTTGAAAATCCAAAAAAAAAATTGTAAATCCGCAAAAAAAATTTCATTGTTTTATCGAAGTGAAAATGCTAAGCAGCAATCAAAAATTGAAATAAGATGGACTCAAAGCGCCCTTATAGTCCAGTAATATATACTGCACTTGTTCTTTATAGGATGGTACAGTTGTGTAGACCGTATGGAGAAGGAATTACTTGTCTCTGTGATGAAAAAGATCATGTTTTAAAATGTTTTCTGGAAACTTCAAATCCTACTCCTCAGGTATTAATATCATTGTAATAATTTTTTTAAACTCGTCTGTTCTAATCCCTTTATCATTGCAATTGCAACTTGATTGTGCAAACTTTTGATATTTCAAACTTTGTATATATTTTGTAAATAGAGTAAAAAGCACAAATTGAAACTTTTTTCATAATCTTGTCATTATTCCATAAATAAAAATGATTTATCCAATTTATGCTTTTTACTCTACATACATAGTTTAAAATATCTAAGGTCTGCGACACTGCAACATATAGATTTCAAACATAATTAAAACATTTTTTTAATAATAAATGCCATTGGGATATTCTAAGAAATATCTATGATTTCTTGCTAAAAGCCAGATATTTGTTTAAAGCTAATTTTGTATTTTGCAGTTTTTTTTATATTTGAAGAATTTATTGGATAAAATGATATTAAATGGGCCGGAAGGATAATTTTGTCAGGAATCGAGGAGAAAATTTCCCAAATATTAACAATTTGATCCTAATTGGTAAATGTACCATGATTTTCATAAATAAAGCATAAAGTTGTTCAAAAGGTTTTCTTTCAAGGGATTGTTAACTTCATTTCAAGTAACTTCTATTTAACCCTTAACAAGCTGGGGGGGGGGCGGGGGACTTGGCGCCCTTCAACCTCTATTTTTTCCTAGCCCTTTTTTGACACTAAACATATATTAACTCCACGTCTAAACTCATCTCGAGCCTTTTTCTAAGTTATAGTATTCATAAATTCAGACCCCTCAAGCTAATTTTATGTTTTTTTGGTTTTTCTTAAATTCCGATATTATTTTCATGTCCTCAGTACCAAAACATAATTTCATTAAAATGTCTGTGCATCTTAAAATACTTGATCATCTATTTGATATCTTTATCATATCAACAAAACTGAGGAAGAAATCTTCGTTTTTCTATTTTAAAAAATTAAAATATTCTGAAAATTTCCTTCGTTGACTCTGCTGCATAGATTCGCAAGTCCATTTAAGAAAAATTTAAGATAGAAAAAGAAGGATTTCCCCGTCATGTTTATGCATGCTAAGATGAGAAGGGTACTGTTGTTAATCCAAGGTTTATGAAGGTTCACTATATGAAATACGTCTAGGGTTTCCAGCGAAAGAAAATGTTCGCAAGCAAAATGCGAAATTTTGCGCGATTTTTTTATAAGCATTTTTAAACCTTTCCGCGAAAATGAATTTTGCGAAAGGAAGCGAAAATGATGCGAAATGTTGCTAAAACTACCAAAATATGAGACAATTTTGCAAAATTTCCCCTTTAAACATTTGATATTTAGGAGATGGGTGATGGTCTAGGGATAGATGGATGCTGGAAGAGAGCAGATAATAGAACAGAATTAATCCTGTCTTTGACCCTAGCAGGAACCCTCATACTAGTCTTTGTTTGGTAATAATGATAATAATAATGATAATAATAATAATGATAATAATAATAATAATAATAATAATAATAATAATAATAATAATAATAATAATAATAATAATAATAATAATAATAATAATAATAATAATAATAATAATAATAATAATAATAATAATAATAATAATAATAATAATAATAATAATAATAATAATGATAATAATGATAATAATAATAATAAGATTTTAAATAAATCCTAATTACTTCCATGAACCTTGTAAATTAGTGATTAAACAAATTTCCCGTGCTAATTCCTTATAATTCCAAATCTTGCATAATTAATCTAAATAAATTAGTTCAACAATTATCCGTAGAGAGAGAGTTTAGAATTTGTTATAATCTAAACTGAGTTCTTGCCACAAACTCTTATTTTTTAATCAACCCGATGCCAAACCCGAAATCAAACTATGATTTATGTTAGATAAAATATTATACGTTTAAAATATTGAAGGTTTACACCATCAGATTGTAAAGACAAAATAATTATTTGATTTTTTTGCAAGGACGTAGTTCAACAGAACATTTTCTTATATAAAGTTCTTATCGCAAGGAAAAATTGTGGAATATTTGTTGAAATCGTTTTTATACAAATTAAAAAGGACGATAGTTTATATAAAACAACGTTCTTTTAAATGATATATTTCCATAACATTGATTAAGATTTTATTTCCTAAAAAATTTGTTAAAATCAAAAACATTTTTTATTGGTTTTTCTACTGAAAAGTCAAATATCGTAGCTCTTTTTATTGATAATTGTTAAAATTAATAATATATTGTATTAAAGGAAATATTCTCAAGATTAATAAAATATTGTATTAAAGGGAATATTCTCAAGATTAATAAAATATTGTATTAAAGGGAATATTCTCAAGATTAATAAAATATTGTATTGTACAGGAAGCTGTTTTTCCAAGGCAGGGAATGCTGCTGCTGCTCCCAGCATGCTGCTGAAAATAAGCAGAAACAGAACAGAATTATTTTACTTCATTCAGAGGCACAAACAGGTTAGACGAAACAGTGAAAATCAGAAAACAGTGAAATTTGTATCATCAAATTTTTAGTTCGATGAAAGACGAAATTTATTCCACACTTTCTAAAAACTGTTTTATAAAATTTTTCCAGGAGAGAGTAGAGAAGACTGGAGAGAAGATGAAAGATGTAAACTGTATCCCCTTCTATCCTCTTCCTCTAACAGGAACAGTTTAAATCCCACGTCGAACTAACCTGCACAACAAACTGCAACCTGTTTGTGGTGGAAAATATTTTTATCATCATATTTTGGTGATGGAAAATAGCGTATGAGATCCAATGTACGAAAATATTTTAAATATATATAGCCCAGTAAAAATGTATTTCATAGCAAATACAAAATTCTGACGTTTAATATGAGGAAAATGGGTTCTGAAATTACAATTTCCTGAAGACTTTTGTCCAGGGCCTTCAGTTTACCGTGGTTCTTTTCTCACACTCAGGGTTTGAAAATCGTCGTTTTGATTTCTGACAAGTGATAAATGACAAAGTGTGAATCAAAAGTAGATTTTACGTTATATGAGCTTTCCAAATAGTAGTCTACATTTTTTTTAGTTTAAAATAGATGAAAAAATCTTCATTCTCTTATATTTGCTTGTAAAAGAGTATTGACAAAGTTTTTTTTTTAAATCATCTGGCAAACAAATTATTCCCGTAAAGATTTTATTTCAATTGATTTTGAAATTAGTATCAAACAAACATCTATATATATATATATATATATACCGTCAACCACCTTTAAACAAAATCATTACATTGCCAAACTAAATGATATCAAAACAGTTTGTACAAAAATCAACGTTAACAGTATTTTTGGCGTAGGGGTTTTAAACTTTTTAGCTTTGCGTCAAAAATTATCTTAATTTTATAAATACTCATGATTTTTCAAACCACCATGCGGAGGTGGGCGGGGCTTTAAAGCAGAACCCCAAATCTTGTCCATATTTTTTTTAACTTTTCGAAACACCCTGTATGTGCAGGGTAAGCCCATAAAGTATGAGAACCTGATGACGACCAAATATTTAAATGTTTTTCTACCTTAAATAACACATGCCTAATTCAGAATTCTGATATCGATCAAAACTTTCAAGAGCGATGAATAAAATATTAGATTAATAAAATATTGAAATTTTAACAAACTTCCCCTATCAATTAATGGATGCTGAAAACAAGACACTAACTACTCCACCGGAGGGAAGCTTAAATAGTCCATTAAACATGAGACGTATCAATTAATGGATGCTGAAAACAAGACACTAACTACTCCACCGGAGGGAAGCTTAAATAGTCCATTAAACACAAGACGTATCAATTGAGGGATGCTGAAAACAAGACACTAACTACTCCACCGGAGGGAAGCTTAAATAGTCCATTAAACATAAGATGTATCAATTGAGGGATGCTGAAAACAAGACACTAACTACTCCACCGGAGGGAAGCTTAAATAGTCCATTAAACATAAGACGTATCAATTGAGGGATGCTGAAAACAAGACACTAACTACTCCACCGAAGGGAAGCTTAAATAGTCCATTAAACATAAACATAAATTGAGGCCGAGGGATGCTGAAAACAAGACACTAACTACTTCACCGGAGGGAAGCTTAAATGCAATATAAACAAACCACTTATACTTTAGAAGTATTTAAACTATGTGCCTTGTAACAAAATTAAATACACTTAATTATTGTTTTCATGTCGTCTTCCTATTCCACAGTTTTCTGAGTGCACTTAAAAAGTAGGAAATACGTACTTACTATGCAGGATGAATGTTACAATCATTTCGATACCGAGTTTTTCAAGATAATTTAAATGCTCTTTAACTCTCTTTCAAGACAGGGTTACCACTGTAAGTAAAGACAACCTAAAACTATTTGAATCTGAGGGTTCCAATGGGTTTCATTAGGGTTCCTGTCTTTAATATCATCTTTTTCTAATTTGTACAATGATTTGGAAAAGAAAGAAACAAGTTTACAGTTTCATGAAATTATTTATATACGGAAACAGATAGTAAAAATTGTTAATAAAATAAAGTACAATGTTGTGTTTTCAATATGTTATTATTAATTTCCATAAAACAACATTCTTACACCTTTAGCTTTTAACTTTTTCAAAGATTTTCAAATGTTTAAAACTAATCTTGAATTTGTGCTGTTTATTAGAGTGAACCAGTACAAGAGTTTAGACTCTTGTTTACGAACCGGTTTTGAATCCCACATGTTGCACAGTGGAACAGGGTAAACACTTTTTATTAGAGGATAAAATATTCATATTACTTTAGCAGATGCTAAGCTATGGCACAATTCTAGAATCCAGCAACAAACTATTTGCACCAGGGGCTCATTTTTAAGTGAAAAATTGTAAGCCAATTTTTGCACAAGAGGTATATATATCATAGGATAAAATCATTCACCTTTCTATCAACCTTTTGTCCCCCACTTATCAATTTATGCCTGAACTTTTATGATATTAATTGTTATGGAGGGGGGAGGGGGGGAGAGAGCTATAAAATTGGGTATAAACTCAAAAGTAGGGCTGGGTAGTGTTCCGTTAACAAGTTTTTTAAGACTAATGAAAGATTATCTTAACAAAAGGCAAACCTCTTTTCAAGAAAAAAAAATAGAAAAAATAGAAAAATCTAAGCTTCTATTATTTCTCAAAAAGCAACCCAATAATATTTTGAAATAAGTCTGCTTTTACATGGAGTTCTATTTAAATATGACCAAATATGTTGTGCAATGTGAAATGTTTACTTTTTCTGAAGATTAGTTTAACAATATTAAGGACGTCTACAAAAAGTCTTTGTTTTAAATTCAAATCAATTGCATTTATAACTGTATTACTTACTTTAACTTATTCAGGAACGGGCTGCTGAAGGGGAACGGGAACATAATAAACAGAAACCAGGAACAGGAACAGGAATGCACATAACGAATAAAATTAATACTTGGCATGTTCTTATTATCACTAATTCTTTTCTTATAATTAGTTTAAATTGAAATCTTGATAGAAAATCAGATTTAATTGCAGATTTAAAACTATCTGTCTAACCCATGTTGACCCTTAACCTTGTTTTGTAGTCTGATCAGCTCTCAGTAGTTTCCACCTTCTAACTAACATGGAATCCAGTGTGCACAAGTGTACAGTTCATAGTGTACAGTTCATAGTGTACAGTTCATAGTGTACACACTACAGTGACCAATAGAAAATCAGGGAAACTTGTTTAATGTTAACACAGTACAGAATCTTGATCAAATATATATGTAACTCATGTACATAAATGCAAATGTATTCCAATTGTGATACACTTAAAGTGTACATTCAACTCAGGAAGATGTTCAATGGTGAACTAAGAAGAGTGATCAGATGGTGCAAGGTTATAATGCAAGGAAATTTAATTGCAGTTGCGTACACTCTGCGTACATATCGAAACCAGTTCTCTCTGGGCGGTATTTGTAAACAAGAATAGATGCATCAGTGTTCGTTTAGTATTCAGAATATTTCATTGATTTTTTATGCGAAAGATGGATCCCATGTCAGGCTTCGACATCCGTCTTGTGTTTACATTACCGCCCAGAGACAGTTCACTGCAGTACAAAAGATGCGTACACCTCTGAAATAACTTTCCTTGCATTATAACCTTTAGGTGGTGTTTGTATAATTTCTAATGTGACAAAAATGGAAATTCTAGCATTGCTATTATTTATAAACAATAGTTACTTATGGTCCATTCCTCCTGGATTCCTAGAGCCCGAAACTAAAACAGGGTATCATCATGAAAACCTAGTATCAGAATCCCAGTTTTATGAATAGGGTTTGGCAGTTTTGTACTTGCCAATATGTTTGTTACAAAATATTATTTTATTTAATTTCTATTTTTCTACTTTTTCTTATTAATTAAATCTAAATCTATGCTTAGACCCATAAAGAAAATTAGGAAGGTTTGTTCAATAGTATTCTCTTAGTTTTTAGGAGAACAGGAAAATTAAGTCCTGTTTAAAATCTTTTTACATTAATAGAACAGTTTCTTGTCTGTCATAATAAGTCACAGTAAATTATATACAAACACTATCCACATTTGTCATCTAATCAAAACTTAAATTGAACAGGACAAGTGTTGTTCATTTTCACAAAACAATTGCAAGTATTCTGTTTTCAAGAATTTTTAATGGATTTTATCGAAATCCCATGTTTGCTGAACCACCCTGAAGAATATTGAATGTTAAAAATGTTCAGTGTTGAATATTTAAACATTTTACAAAAACTTTACTAACTCTGTAAACTTTATTTGAAACATTTTACGAAAATAAAATTTTAGAATTTATAAATTTTTATTCTAGCAGAGTGTGATCACATGGAAAGGTTGGCAGAAGGGTGAAGGATGGTAAATTTTATACACTTTCTTCGAGATGTTGGTTTTTGGAGGATAATAAGAATAAAGAGTTGAGTCTTAGCCACAAACTCTGATATATTAATCCCTATTTCTTTGCAATCCAATGTAGTAGACCTGAGATATCATAACTATAAATTCTGTTAGATCAAATAATATAAGTTTGAAATATCAAAGGTTTACACCATTAAGTTGCAACAATATTGGGATTAGAAAATTAAAGTTTGTGGCAAAAACTCAATTCTTTTGTGTCTCATTTGAAGATAAGAATTGCATGGAGTAGATACAATTTTCTATGTACTTGACATTTTCTTTAGAAATAAAAAACATCTGAAAATGATGGGTTTAGAGGTTCCAATATCGCATTTTCTTTTGAAATAGTTTAGGTTGGACTTTAATATAACTTCTCTACCAAGGAAACAAACAGTCAAACATAACAGACAAGCAAAAATATGTTGTACTAAATTATATTAAATACATTACAAATTACACAATACATATATAAACTAAATTATATTAAATACATTACAAATTACACAATATATATATGTACTAAATTATATTAATACATTACAAATTACAA